ACACTTACATAAAAGATACGTAGCCATTAGGTTGCTGTCGAACGTATATTTTAAGTCGATGATCGTACTTCAACATACCTCACCACCCCAAGAAAAGTTGCCGAAGAAAACGCAGCGCACATGAACCTACTGAGCAAGGCGTTCTCGGAGTACTAGTGTTTCCAGTATGATCTTCGGTGAGGTCCCGGTACTAATATGCGAAACGTTTAAAGTTTGAGCATGTTTTCAACTTAATCCTTCGGCTTACTGGATATGCGCAGTCGGCACAGATACAATACACGAAAAAAGGAGCGTATGCTGAAGACCACGCAGAGAGGCTTTTGCGCAACTGTGGGGACGACGACTGGGTGAAAGTTTTTTACCCACAACGACTGGATGACATACAGCGAGTGGAACAAATTTTTAGTCGTCGGTCGCTAGGCTGGAAGCACAAAAGGCAGTGAGACCGGATAAGCAATGGCCTACAGTCAAAACATAGCCGTCACTACTCACGAAAAAGTCTCCGAAGAGACAGTGAGGACAATACTAACCGCCGACTTAGAACTTGACGCGTCTACAGGGGTGATGACCGACAAATCGAGTATTGAAAAAGCGTGACGTCTGAGGTCACTTCGTCGTGATCACAATTCACGGCGCGGATATCGGAAGGAACGATGCGATACTGGATAAAGTCATTGTATTACCTTAGCTACCGCAATTAAGAGCGACCTATGAGCAGCAATAGAGGAGCTTCTATCCAGACAAAATACCAAACGGCACGGCTAGCAGAGTGGAGAGAGCGGTGAAGACTATTTTTTTTAGATTACGCGTCAGAGTCTGGAAATGGTTACATGGACGCGGGTAGAGATATGATTAAGGCATCGCTACCGAACGACCATGAGGAATCCGGGAGGTCTGGCTTACACTTGATGAGTCGCGCTGACACAGCAGCTGTAAATGGGTTACACGCACAAAGTACCTGGTACCCTGTGTCATAGTCACGCACATGATATCTTACTGAAAGAGATATAGAATATGTTATCGTTACATAGGGACTTATTGGTGTCAGCCACCAAATAGGAGAGATCTTAGTTGTACTAATATAGGACATCAGTGTCTCGATTAGGATTAAGATATTCTAATGGGTTAGATGTAAATAAAAATTCAGTCTGCCTTTTGATCGTAAAGAACCTGCCTTGCGAGGCGTCTCTGGTCGCTAATCACTGATCACTAAGAGTTAGCAACACCTCCTTGAGGTAGCTAGTTACTCGTGAGCACTAAGTGCTGTCGATTCACTGAAACATTTTGTCTTCTGGAACAAGGACTATAAGCTTTACGCTTGTTAACTCATCGAGTCGAGTGCTTTAGAATTAAGTTGCTCGTTGAGCGTTAAGTCTTCCTCTTACTTAGGGAGCTTTGTATCTGCGCTACACTTGGTAGCACTAGTAGTCAATCTACGCCTGAGTCTGTAAGACTGATCCTCTGTGAGGATAGAAAACCCCTCTACCCTCTCTGAGGTCCCAAGGGCCGCGCTTGATAAGCTGACCGCATCTTTGGGTCCAGAGTACGTGAAGTTCCTTGTTGCAAAAGGCCCTAAAGTGCTAAATGCACGTGTTGAAGGCTCCAGCAGTATGAAGCGTCCCTTCTAAGGAATGTCCAAGACCAAGTAGCGTCGGCTATTACTACACGCTATGTTTCTGTACCAGACAAAGAGGCTAGACCTCGTCCAGGCATTGTGGAGCTTAAAAATTACTCCGGTAAGGAGGGTGAAAACATCATTCTCTGGATTTGTGAGATTGAGATGGTCATGAGATCAGGCCTGATCAAGATTGACCATCAACAGGTCTCGCTGGCTATCTCAAAGCTCGATGGAAGAGCTAGAGAATGATCCCTGAAGTGTAGCACGTCGTTTGACTTAGCAATCCCCACATGGGAGTCGCTTAGGTCACAATTGGCACTGGTGTTCTCACCACCTAACCAAGCTTACCGCGTGCGTTCACGCTTTTTATCAACCCGTCAAGGTAAGCCAGGTTAGCGGACTATGTTTAAGAGCTGAGAACTCTTATGGATGCTATGCAGTCTGACCTTTTGCCAATGATAGTCCATGTGACTAAATTTATGAAGGGTCTCCGTACTGGAATTGCCAGAATCGAAGTCTTTCGGGTTTACCCCTCTACATCTGAAGAGGCTTGGAGGATTGCTCTTAATGCTGAGCATAAGTTCAATTTGGTCAAACTTGGCTAGAATGGGTACAACTCTGGCTCTGTAAGAGAAAATTTCGCGAGTAATTTAGTCGACAATAGACCGGAACCGATGGATTACAGCTATGCTGAGGATAGAGTTAAAGTTATAAAATGAGAAGTTGAGCAGCAACGTTTGTACAATCTGATCTACGTGAGGAAGCACTAAACACTTGCGGCATGATTGCCCTTTGCGTAGACAGCTCCAGGCTACGAGTTGATACTCTTCCCCGGGCCAGAAGTCTGGTATGGCACAGGGAAATGTAGAAACCTGTAGGCGCGGGGCGCTCTACTGGGGAAGAGCTGGGTTCTGTTACACGTTTAGGAGGTAAAATGGAACAAAGGCTTAGCCCCAAAGAGCTCCATACCCATTGGTATGGAGCGTGGACACAAGTCTGGTTGTTAGTCGCCGAGGCGAAAATTAAGGGAGTTCAGAGGCCTTGGTCGATATTAATCGACTCTGGAGCGTCTTGTAAATATGCTCTACGTTGTCCCTCGAGGGAAGTCAGCGTTAGGCTGAGGCGCTTACAGCGCATGAGGGTGATTCTATCACGGTTCGTTTTGCGACTGGAAGTCATGTTACTGTGCCTAAAGCTCCATTGAACTTAGGTATAGAGTATATTGAATTTCATAGCATTCAACGCTGTCTTATCCTTGACTTGGACTCGAGATATGATCTCATCCTTGGTGTAACTTGGCTTGAGTGCCATCAGCCATCAGCCATGGATTGATTGGAGGTCTAAGGTCTTTGGTGCTACTCGTAATGCGCCTGGTTGTCTCTTACAAATGCGGGTTCGTGAATCTTCAAAATTTTGCTCAAAACGAAGTTTTGAAGATTCACGAGCCCACATTTGTAAGGCAACCAGAGCTCTATTAAAGAGAGCCTTTGACAGAAGTTGTCAATGTGCTGGACATTGGTATGTTCGAATATTAGTGATACAGCACGTACTTCGTTAAGTTTTACTCATTGTGGTAACAAGTCACTGCATATTAAAGGCATGATTGGCCTCGGACCGAGTTATCGAGGATGTGATTACTTTGATGTGTGTGTGTGGTGGCACGTGAAAATGAACCGAGTGCGGTCAGCCGTGAAAACACCACACTTAGTGTCGGTAATGACAACTCGACAAAATAGCTTCAAGCTGAGGGATAGGCCCACATAATGTAAGTGGAGTGGCAAAATTAAATCCACTGGGTGAAGTGCTCGAACTACGTAACACTTCACGGAATGTCAATCGAGACAATAGCTCTAGTACAGAGCGTACTACTACTAGCAGTATTCACGGGGCACCATTTCTCCAACACCAGAGGTGTGTAAGGTCTCATTAAAGAGACTACCTGGATGCCAGGTGGTAACTATTAAGCGCCGGGCATCCGAGCGGTCACATAGTGACAATATTGAGACATTATAATCACTTTTCAAAGAAGTGACTGGCCAGGTTCATACACTATATTCACTCGTCAACAAAGTGAACGTCCAGTTTGTTGAAGGTATGGCACGGGAGTGACGAGAAGACCGGAAGAGACCGGAGAGAGCGAAGAGGCTTGAGGAGCGGACCAGAGAAGACTTGCTCGGCAGAAGGAGAATTCGAAAGTGATTGATTATCGGGGCTTACCACTTACTAAATGATTTATATGTGGTGCACATGTAAATCATGTGAAGCGTCTCATCATCCTACGCGTCTAATCAACTATGGTAATTACCGTAAGAACTACGTCGTAGATACTAAGCTGAACAGGCGGTTCGGATTGGACCGGTCACGGTTGCCAACACTGGTAGAAAACCGATGACCGTCAACAATTGAATGGGGAGACTTGCTCTCACGAACCATTCCAGCCGCGTGCTTAGCACGAAAGAACTCGTCAGTGACTTCACACTGCTCCTTTGATAGGGGCCATTGCCGTGTCACACATTATTTGGTTCCAGGAACCAGGTCAATTTCATGACGTACACCTCCATCAGGTGTTAAAAAAGATGGAGATTGTGACACACCTCATCTTGAAATTCCTTTATCAAAGGAAAGCATGGATTCAAAGAACCTTAAAGGATCGAAGATCACTCCGGGCACTGTGTTAAGATGTAACGAGCACTGGGCCAGAGAACGAAGCTTGAAGAACTTGAAAAGAAGTCTACACTGCGAAGTGAAGACGACTTGTGTAGGAGAAGGAACATTTGGAAGTGAATTTATTTGTGGGTTTTGTTAAAGCTACCTGATTTATCTCTGCACTGATTTATATGTTGTCCACATATAAATCATGAATCATAAATCATGTAGGTCATCCAATCATCCTATGCGTCTAATCATTAGTAAAAACTCACCGTAATTACGCGGGATCGACTTGGACAGGTTTACGGTTTCCATGGTAGCTGATAACAGTACCTCAACCGTCAACCCACAATACGCCCCCTCAATGCGAACAAGCGTGTATGACGAGCGCTGCCGTCGTGTCCTTGTGACGCGGTCCTGGCAGATCCTTGGTCATGATGTCCGCCAACATAATCTTAGTCTCACCGTACTCCAACTTGACATCACTACGCTTGACTTCATCACGAATGTGATGGTACTTGATGTCGATGTGCTTGGCCCGACCATGGTTCACAGGATTCTTCGTCATCTTGATGCACGATTATTTTTCTTCAATGATCTTGAGCTCGGGTCCAGACTTGTCCTCTGCGGCATCCAGAATCTCACACAGCAATCGATGCACCCACTTGCCTTCTTGAATCGCCAGACTTAGTGCAATGTACTCAGCTTCACTTGTTGACAGCGACACACTTGACTAGTTTTTGCTTCCCCAGATCACCGGAGCACTCATCAGGATGAACGCATATCCCGAAGTCGACTTGCGGTCTGCATGATCGCCGGCCCAGTCTGCATCCGAGTAGCCGCATAAGTCTGTCTTGTCATCAGACTTTAAGCAGATGCCGTGCGACTTAGTCTCTTGCAAGTATCGCAGAATGCGCTTGACCGCCATCCAATGCTCGACTTGGGGTTTTTCCATGAAGCGCGAAACGTGACTCACAGCACAGGCAATGTCCGGTCGTGTCGCGGTCATCAAGTGCATCAAAGCACCTACTGCTTCACGAAACGGGGCGTCGATTTTGGTTGCTGCGGTGCTTGGTATGAATCGAGAACTGATGTCTGTTGGGCTGATGACGGCTTTGCAGTCGCTCATGCCAAAACGCTTGAGGACATCTTCCACGTAGCGTCGCTGGCACATCGTCACGCTACCGTTGTCGTTGTCCACCATCTCGATGCCCAACACGAATACGCACTTGCCGCCGTCAGTAATTTCAAAACGCGCCTTCAAGTCACTCTTGGTGCGACAATCAGTTCGTGTTGAAAGATGTGAAGCTTGACGACCGAAACTGGGAGGGATGCTGGGAGTCCACTCGGAAGACCGGAGAAGACACTTGGGGGGTAGATGGAAGATTGGAAAGTGATTGATTCATAGGTCTTAACTCTGCCTACCCTAGACTGCATCCAATCGCATGGTGCATCTGATCAACCTGATTTACACACGTCTAATCATCCTACGCGTCCAATCATCTCTGAGGTAATTACCGACGTAAAAACTATCCCGTAAAAACTACGCTTAATTTCGGATTGTATCGGTAACCCTCAATACTCCCCCTCAATCCGAACTTGCACGAACGCCGAGAGCCGTCGTCAAGTTCTTGTGGCGAGGTCCCGAAAGTCCCTTGGTCATGATGTCCGCCATCATCACGGAAGTCTCGCAATACTCGAGCTGCACTTCACCGCGCTTGACCTCATCACGGATGTGATGGTACTTGATGTCGATGTGCTTGGCGCGGCCATGATTCACCGGATTTTTCGTCATCTTGATGCACGACTGGTTGCCTTCACGGATGACGAGGTCCGGTCCTGGTTCGTTAGCGGCCGCCAAAATTTCGCATAGCAGGCGATGCACCCACTTGCCTTCCTGGATGGCCAGACTCAGTGCGATGTATTCCGCTTCACTCGTCGATAGCGACACACTTGACTGCTTCTTGCTTCCCCAACTCACAGGAGCACCCATCAGCATGAAAGTGTAACCCGAAGTCGACTTGCGATCAGCGTGGTCGCCGGACCAGTCCGCGTCCGAGTAGCCACGAAAGTCGATCTTGTTGCTTGGCTGGAAGCGGAGTCCGTGCGACTTTGTCCCTTGCAAGTAACGAAAGATGCGCTTCACCGCCGTCCAATGTTCTTGCTGCGGATTCTCCATGAAGCGCGAGACGTACCCCACAGCATACGCAATGTCCGGGCGCGTCGCAGTCGTCAAGTGCATCAAAGCTCCCACAGCTTCACGAAACGGAACGTCGATCTTGGCCGCTTCGCTGCTTGCGACAAGCCGAGTGCTCAAGTCGACCGGACTTGCTGTGGCCTTGCACTCATCCATGCCGGAGCGCTTGAGGATGTCGTTGACATACCGTCGCTGGCACATCGTCACGCTGCCATCCGATTCGTCCACCAGTTCGATGTCCAGTACAAAAGTACACTTGCCACTGTCGGTCATCTCGAAACGCGTCTTGAGGTCGGCCTTCGTCTGCGCAATCAACTCGAGCGAGCTGCCGGTGACCAACACGTCATCCACGTAGACCAGCACGAGCACACAGTGACCATCGACAACCTTGATGTAGAGACATGGGTCGAACGCCGACACATCGAAACCGATAAAGCATACGAACTCGTCGAAAGTCTCGTTCCACACACGTGAAGCTTGCTTGAGACCGTAGATCGCCTTCACCAACTCGAGACAGTCGAAGTCGCCATCCATCTCGACGCCTTCTGGTATCACGCAGTACACCTTCTCCTTCATCACTCCGTAGAGAAAGGCTGTCACCACATCGAGTTGGTCCAGTGGCCAGTCGAAATACTTGGTGATCGCGATCACCATACGCAGTGTCATGTACTTGACCACGGGCGAGAACGTCTCTGTGTAGTCGATGCCGTACTTCTGCTTGAAGCCCTTGGCAACGAGACGCGCCTTGTATTTCTCGACCGATCCATCCGCTTTGCGCTTGATCTTGAACACCCACTTGGTGCCGATCGCGCCTTGGCCTCTTGGCAGTTTTGCCGCACGGAAAACTCCACGAAGATGCATCGACTTGAGTTCCGCCTTCACAGCATTTCGCCAGTGAGCTTGATCAGGACCATTGATCGCGTCTTGAAAAGTCACAGGTTCTGCTAGGTCCGTTGCTTCCACTGCGTTTGCACTTGCACGCCAAAATGTTGGAGGCGTCGAGTCGTCATCTTGATCGTAGACGCTCGCATCTTCTTCGTCATCAGACATCGTTTCTGGAGCACTTGATCGTCGTTTCTGGTGACGGTTGGAGACGTGTTCCGGCGCACTTGCTTGTTCCAACCCAGTTCGAGGGCGAGCTGAACGTGACATGCCGGGTCTTGCTTCACTCTTGCGCTTGCCAGTCTGCTTGTAGACGGTTTGACGCACGTCGTCCTCGTTGATCGCCAGGAGGTCGAGGTCCAACTCCGCATCTTCATCATCGTCACTTGGTCGGTCCATCGAAAAGTCAAAAGTCGATTCGTCGAAGGTGATGTCACGACTGATCACCACTTGGCCCGCCTCAATGTCGTACACTCGATAAGCTTTTGACGCTTCTTCGTAGCCCATGAACATCCCTTCACGAGCCTTTGGGTCCCACTTCAATCTCTTCTCCCTTGGTGTCAGGATAAACGCCCAACATCCAAACACGCGCATGTGCTTGACACTTGGTTTCAACTTGTAAACGACCTCGAACGGAGTCTTGTGGTCGATCTTGGGTGAAGGCAGGCGGTTCTTGATGTAGATCGCCGTCATTGATGCTTCAGCCCAGAAACACTTCTCCCAGCTTGCATGATGCAGCAAGCTGCGTCCGATCGTGACGATGGTCCTTATCGCGCGTTCTGCGGTGCCGTTGGTCTGGTGTGCATACGGCACCGTGACCTGTTGTTCGATACCATGATCTTTGTAGAAGGTCTTGATCGAGTTGGTCGCAAACTCATGCGCTCCATCGTGCCGAACAAACTTGATCTTCGTGCCGAACTGAGTTTGAATCTTGATAATGTGGTTCTTGATACAGTCTTCACTCTCAGACTTGGACCGCAGACAGAAGCCCTTCATGCAACCGCTGGCTTCGTCAACCACAAGCAGTAAGTATCTGCTGCCGCCGATCGAGACTTGTTCCTTTGGCCCGCAGATGTCGAAGTGAAGCAACTCGAACACACCATATTGGCGTTTGTCACGGTTGGTTGGGAATGGGTTTTGGACCATCTTTCCTTGCTGGCAACCGCGACACACACTTGGACCAGTCGAGTTGAGAGGTGCCTTGGCGTCCTTGATCATGCCAGTGGCCACCATCTTGCGCAGAACTTCGAGGGGTGCATGACCCATGCGCGCATGCAAGTCGATAGTCCCATTGCGTGTTGCTGCATTTGCCGATCGTTGAGGAGTCCGCAGCCAGTAAAGTCCATCGACGAGATCCGCTGTTGCCACGACTTGTGTAGAATTATTGCGCTTCACTTGCATCTTGGAACCATCGAACACGACTTGGAACCTGCCACCCTTGTTGATCTGTGGCACCGAAAGCAGATTCTTGCTCATACTTGGTACGAACAGTGCGTCCTTGATCTCGACGTCGCGTTCGTCACCATTGGGCAGAACCACCCGTTCCATGATGGTTCCCACATACTTGATCGCAGCCTTGCTGCCATCAGCCACTGATAGTTCGCCTTCCTCTCGCTCATTCAGGCTTGCAAACTTGGCCTTGTCGTTGCAGATGTGATGCGTCGCAACGCTGTCGACTGCCCACATCCCTGGCATATTCTTGCCTGTCGAAAGTCCAGCCTCCAGCGAAACCGCGAACGCAACTCGATCGTAGTTGTCGTCGTAGTTGCTGTTGGTTCGCCACTGAACGTTGTTGGCTCCGCGTCCACGAGCATTGTTGCCACCGCGTCGAGCTCCACCTTGATTTTCGTCCTTCTGCTTGGTCCAGCACCGCTCCGCCGTGTGCCCCAATTTTCCGCAGTATGTACACTGGCGAGGTTCACGCTCGGCACTGAACGCCTTCGCCGCGTCTTCAGTCTTCACCGATGTCGTCTTGTTTCCTTGCCTCTTGATGTGTTCATTCGTGAGCACTCTCACGACGTCTCGCGATCGCAGTTCCGCGCTGCTCATCTCTAAGTTCAGCACGACGTTCTCGTAGCTCTTGGGGAGGCTGCGCAACAAGCAGATCGCCACGTCCTCATCCTCCATCTTGGCGCCGATACTGCTAAGCTCGGCGCTGATGTTGAGAACTTTATTGCAATGATGCATAACATTGCCGCCTTCCGCCATCTCCATGCTGAACAGCTGGCGCTTCAATTAGATCCGTCCAGCCTTCTGCAATCCGCCGTACAGCGTCTTCAAACGCGCCCACGCGACCCACGCCTCTTCACAGCCATCGAAGATGTGATGGTAGTCTGCGTCCATGTGCAGCAACATCAGTCCGAAAGCGATGTTGTTGGCCTAGTCGTCCATGGCGCGATCGTCCGTGTAGGTCGGCGACGTCTCCCGGTTCACCACGTGCCACGTCGACTTGATCAGGAACACGCCACGCATGTAGCGGCTCCATGTCGCGTAGTTGTCGCCGTCGAACTTGTCAACGGAGATCTTGGTGGTGGCATCATGAGCAGAGGACATCGTGCTTGGGCTCATAACCTGTTGGAAGGTGTGAAGCTTGACGACCGAAACTGGGAGGGATGCTGGGAGTCCACTCGGAAGACCGGAGAAGACACTTGGGGGGTAGATGGAAGATTGGAAAGTGATTGATTCATAGGTCTTAACTCTGCCTACCCTAGACTGCATCCAATCACATGGTGCATCTAATCAACCTGATTTACACACGTCTAATCATCCTACGCGTCCAATCATCTCTGAGGTAATTACCGACGTAAAAACTATCCCGTAAAAACTACGCTTAATTTCGGATTGTATCGGTAACCCTCTATAGTTCGGTCGAGCTGCCCGTTACCAACACATCATCGACGTATACCAGCAAAAGCACGCATTTGCCACTTGTAATCTTGAGATTAAGACACGGGTCAAAATCGGATACTTGAAACCCAATAGAGCAGACGAACTCATGGAAAGTCTCGTTCCATACGCGCGATGCTTGTTTTAGTCCGTAGATCGCCTTGACCAGTTCAAAGCAGTCAAAGTCTTCATCAACTTTGACTCCTTCTGGAATCGCGCAGAATACCTTTTCCTTCATCTCTACGTGTAGGAAAGATGTCACCACGTCCAGTTGGTCCAGTGTCCAGTCAAAGTACTTCGTGATTGCGACCACCATGCGCAGCGCTACGTACTTGACTACCGGCGAAAACGTCTCCGTGTAGTCGATGCCATATTTCCGCTTGTACCCTTTTGCCACGAGACGCGCCTTGTATTTCTCGATGGATCCATCAGCTTTCCGCTTGATCTTGATTAACCACTTAGTACCAATGGTATGCTGTCCAGCTGGCAGTTTGGTCGCTCGAAACACGCCACGAAGTTTCATCGAGTCCAGCTCGGCACAGATTGCTTTACGCCAATGCACTTGATCTGCTCCATCAACCGCATCTTTAAAAGTTGTCGGCTCAGACAAGTCAGTGCCTTCGACTGTGTTGGCACTCGCTCGCCAAAAGACTTGAGGTGTAGCATCCTCGTTACCTTCGTCACTGCTCTTTCGTTCTTCGTCCAGATTGGCTCGAGCGCTTGACCGTCGCTGTGCTTATTGCGATTCAAAGTCATCCGGGGCACTTGCTTTTTCTAACCCGGTTCACCAGGGCTCAGGAAGTGTCCGTTGTAGAACTTATTCTTGGCTGTTTGAACAACTTTTGCGCATTCCAGTTTGCTTGAACTGCATAGGGTGAGGATCATCGCTGATATTCATCGATTCGATATCCAGCGCAGTGTCATCAACAATTTCTTGTGGTAGCGTCGACGAGAAACCAAACGTTGATTCGTCGAATGTGGCATCGCGAGATATCACCACTTGATCCGCTTCAATGTCGTAGACGCGATATGCCTTTGACAATTCTTCGTACCCCATGAATAGTCCTTCGCGAGCCTTCGGATCCCATTTCGATCTTTTTTTCCTTAGGGGTCAGCACAAACGTTCGGTAGCCGAAAACCCGCATGTGCTTCACACTTGGTCGAAATCCGTTGATGATCTCGAACGGGGTTTCATCTTGGCACTTGGGCGATAATTGGCGATTCTTGATGTAGATCGCCGTCATTGCTGCTTCAACTCAACAGCACATGTCCAGCTTGGCGTAGTGAAGCATGCTGCGCCCGATCGTCATAATGGTCCGAATTGCCCGTTCCGCCGTGCCGTTGGTCTGATGTGCATACGGAACGGTAACTTGCTGCTCGATTTCTTGATCATCGTAAAATGCCTTGAGCGAATTCGCCGCAAATTCGCGTGCACCATCGTGTCGAATGAACTTGACCTTGTAGTCAAACTGCGTATGTACTGCCATGATGTACTTCTTGATGCACTCTTCGCTGTCGGACTTCGCGCGCAGACTGAAACCCTTCATACATCCGCTGCCTTCATCGACGATCAGTAGCAAGTACTTGCTTCCACCTAGCGAGTCGACTTCCATTGGACCAAAAGTGTCGATATGTAGATGCTCAAATGGATCGTAGTGGCGCTTGTTTGGATTGCTTGGGAACGGTCGTTGAACCATTTTTCCTTCTAGACAACCTTGACACACGCTTGATCCGCTCAATTCGTTGGCATCTTGGCATCCTTGATCATGCCCTTGGAGACCATCCTGCACAAGACATCAACCGGTGCGTGACCCATACGCGCATGGCGGTTTTTGACTCTTGGTCCTGAAGCCGCATTCACGGATCGTTGGGATGTACGAAGCCAGTAGAGGCCATCCACAAGATCTGCCATCGCCATTACTTGCTTGGAGCCTTTGTGCAAAATCTTCATCTCGTCACCATCAAACACCACTTGAAACTTGCCGCTTTTGTTGATTTGTGGTATCGATAGCAAGTTCTTGTTCATGCTTGGGACGTAAAGCGCGTTCTTGATCCCGACTTCGCGCTCTTCACCGTTGGGCATGATCCCCTTTTCGACGATTGTCCCGACACTGTTGATCTCAGCCTTGTTCCCATCTGCAACCAATTCTTCACCTTCATTGCGCTCGTCCAGAACTTCGAACTTGGACTTGTCATAGCAGATGTGATGTGTTGCACCGCTGTCAATAACCCACATTCCAGACATGCTCTTGGCCGTTGAAAGTCCGCATTCCGGCGAAACAGCAAACGCCACTCGATCATAGTCATAGTTGCTGTTGCCGTTGTAGCCTTGCCACTGAACTTGATTCGCTCCGCGTCCACGAGCATTACCGCCGCGTCGAGCTCCCCGATTTTCTTGCTTCTGCTTGGTACAGCACTTTTCCACCGTGTGCCCCAATTTTCCGCAGAACATACACTGACGAACCTCACGCTCTGTACGGTACTCTAGGCCTTGGTCGCATCTTCAGTTTTCACCTATGTCGTCTTGTTTCCTTGCCTCTTGATGTGTTCATTCGTGAGCACTCTCACGACGTCTCGCGATCGCAGTTCCGCGCTGCTCATCTCTAAGTTCAGCACGACGTTCTCGTAGCTCTTGGGGAGGCCGCACAACAAGCAGATCGCCACGTCCTCATCCTCCATCTTGGCGCCGATACTGCTGAGCTTCGCGCTGATGTTGAGAACTTTATTGCAATGATGCATAACATTGCCGCCTTCCGCCATCTCCATGCTGAACAGCTGGCGCTTCAAGAAGATCCGTCCCGCCTTCTGCGATCCGCCGTAGAGAGTCTTTAATCGTGTCCACGCAACCCACGCCTCCTCACAGTCATCAACAACGTGATGCTAGTCTGCGTCCATGTGCAGCAACATCAAGCCGAACGCAATGTTGTTGGTCTTGACGCACTCATCACTGGCGCGAGGATCGGCGAATGTGGGGGTGGTCTCCCGGTTCACCACGTGCCACGTCGACTTGGTCAGGAACACGCCACGCATGTAGCGGCTCCACGTCGCGTAGTTGTCTCCATCGAATCTATCGATAGAGATCTTGGTGGCGGAATCTTGAGCAGAGGACATCGTGCTTGGGCTCATAACCTTTTAAATTATGTAACCGGCAATGGGCGAGAGAACGAAGCTTGAAGAACTTGAAAAGAAGTCTACACTGCGAAGTGAAGACGACTTGTGTAGGAGAAGGAACATTTGGAAGTGAATTTATTTGTGGGTTTTTGTTAAAGCTACCTGATTTATCTGTGTCCTGATTTATATGTTGTCCACATATAAATCATGAATCATAAATCATGTAGGTCATCCAATCATCCTATGCGTCTAATCATTAGTAAAAACTCACCGTAATTACGCGGGATCGACTTGGACAGGTTTACTGTTTCCATAGTAGCTGATAGCAGTACCTCAACCGTTAACCCACAATACACTGAGTGCCGCCTTGATATACTTCAGGACTGACCATTCATTACTGGGGACAAGTTCGACTCGGCATCGAGTCCAATGACCAATGACTCGGATGAATCTTCTGCCTTCAAGGCCTGGCTAAACTTGCCATCCGACATTTTGGCTAGCTTACAAAGAGCATTCAAAGATAAAAGGGTTCTTAGGCTAACATTGCCATAAACTGTGCTTTCGGTCATCGGTTTCCTACCAGTGTTGGTAACCGTGACCGGTCCAATCCGAACCGCCTTTTCAGCTTAGTATTTACGACGTAGTTCTTACGGTAATTACCATAGTTGATTAGACGCGTAGGATGATGAGACGCTTCACATGATTTATATGTGCACCACATATAAATCATGTAGTAAGTAGAAATCCCCGATAATCAATCACTTTCGAATTCTCCTTCTGCCGAGCAAGTCTTCTCTGCTCCGCTCCTCAAGCCTCTTCGCTCCCTCCGGTCTCTTCCGGTCTTCTCGTCACTCCCGTGCCATACCTTCAACAGGTTATGAGCCCAAGCGCAATGTCTTCTACCGGCCACGCATCCTTTAACGCCCTCATCGATAAGTTCGATGGGGACAACTATTCGACCTGGAGTCGATACATGCGTGGCGTGTTCCTGACAAAGTCAGTGTGGCATGCTGACAACCGGGAGAGCTCCTCGACGTTCGTGGACCCTCGAGCGCAGGACGACTACGTCAAGGCCAACAACATCGCGTTTGGAACGATGTTGCTGCACATGGGTGCGAACTAACAACAAGTGGTCGACAACTGCGAAGAAGCGTGGGTTGCGTGGCAGAGCCCAAAGGTGCTGTACGGTGGATCCCAGAAAGCGGGAAGGATCTACCTCAAGCGTCAACTCTTCAGTTTGAAGATGGATGAAGGCGCCAACGTCATGCATCACTGCAACGAGGTCCTGAACATCTCTGCCAAGCTTAGCAGCATCGGTGCGAAGATGGAGGACGAGGACGTCGCAATTTGCCTGCTGCTCATCCGCCCTAAGAGTTTTGAGAACGTTGTTCTAAACTTGGAGATGAGCAGCGCAGAGCTTCGTACCCAAGCTGTGGTGAAGGTGCTCACGAATGAGCACACCAAGCGCCAAGGGGAGAAGACGACAACAACAGCGGCGATGGTCAAGACTGAAGATGCAGCCAAGGCTTTCAACACTGAGCGGGAGCCATACAACTACACCTACGGTGGGAAGGTGGGACACACCGTCGATCGCTGTTGGACCAAGCAGAAGAATGAAAGTCGAGGAGCCCGACGCGGCGGCAATGGTCGTGGACGCGGGGCAAACAATGTCCAGTGGGGACAATATCGTGATGAAGGCAGAGACTACGATCAAGTAGCGTTTGCAGTTTCGCTAGAGTGTGGACTCTCAGCGAAGAAGGACGTGTCCGGAATGTGGGCAGTCGACAGTGGTGCAACACACCACATATGCCACGACAAGACCAAGTTTGCAAGACTGAACGAGCGCAACGACGGTGAAATCTTGGTGGCGGATGGCAACAAAGTGGCCATCAAGGGTGTTGGAACCATCTTTGAAAAGGTGGTTCTGCCCGACGGTGAAGAGCGCGAGATCGAGATCAAGAACGTGCTTTACGTACCAAGCATGAGCAAGAATCTACTATCGGTACCGCAGGCCAACAAGCACGGCAAGTTCCAAGTCGTGTTCGACGGGACCCAGATGTTTGTCGCCCGCAAAGGATCGCAACAAGTGGTGGCAACAGCAGATCTTGTGGATGGCCTTTACTGGCTTCACACAGCTCATCGATCGGCCAATGCGACAACAAACAGATGCAACGGTGTCGACTTACATGCGCGGATGGGACACGCTCCAGCTGATGTGCTTCGCAAAATGGTGGCCACGAACATGATCAAGGATGTGAAGGTACATCTCACGTCAAATGGATCAAGCGCATGCCGAGGATGTCAACAATGGAAAATGGTCCAAAACCATTCCCATGCAACAAGGACAAGCGCAGATACGACACCTTCGAGCTACTTCACGTCGACATCTGCGGACCCATGGAGGTGAATTCTCTGGGTGGCAGTAATTATCTACTTCTGATCGTTGACGAAGCCAGTGGATGCATGAAGGGCTTCTGTCTACGTGTGAAGTCGGAGAGTGAAAACTACATCACACGATACATCAAGATGGTGCAAGCGCAGTTTGGCAAGAAGGTCAAGCTCGTCCGACACACCGGAGCCCGCGAGTTCGCAACTAACTCGCTTCAAGAATTCTACGAAGATGAAGGCATTGAGCAGCAGACGACGGTGCCATATGCACACCAGACCAACGGCACGGCAGAGCGCGCCATTCGGACTATCGTCACAATTGGTCGCAGCATGCTCCACCATGCTAAGCTGGAAAAGTGCTTCTGGGCCGAAGCAGCAATGACGGCAAGCTACGTCAAGAACCGTCTGCCGTCGCCTAAAGTTATGCACAAGACTCCGTTCGAGATTGTCCACAACTCCAAGCCAAGTGTCAAGCACATGCGGGTGTTCGGTTGTCAGGTTTACATACTGACACCGAAGGAGAGGCGGCTCAAGTGGGAACCCAAGGCTCGCACTGGAACATTCTTGGGCTACGAAGAAGCATCCAAAGCGTATCGCGTTTATGACATTGAGGCGGGGCAGGTGGTCATCAGTCGCGATGTCAACTTTGACGAGTCCGCCTTTGGACTTTCGCCGCCTACCACCGCTGAAGACGCCGATGACATTGGCTTCGACTCCCTCGGTCTGGATGATGAAGCGCCAGGTCAAGCGCAGTACAAGCAAACAGGCAAGCGCAAGAGTCGTCCCCATGAAGAAGGAGTACCAGCTCCACCCATGCGCACAGTGCGTCAACGGCCTGGACTAGAAGAATCAAGTGCGCCAGACAATCACACGACCCACCAAGAAGAAGATGAAGAAACAAAGAATGCTGATGCATCGACTCCGCCTGTGTTTTGGCGTGCGAGTGCGAACGCCATCGAAACGACAGTAGACTTATCCGAGCCATCGACTTTTGAAGCTGCGATGAGCGGTCCTGATCAAGTGTATTGGCGCGAAGCTATCCGTGCGGAACTTGAGTCGATGCGACTTCTTGAAGTATTCCGCGCAGCCAAGCTACCTAAAGGACATTGCTCCATTGGCACGAAGTGGGTCTTCAAGATCAAGCGCAAAGCGGACGGATCAATTGACAAGTACAAGGCGCTTCTTGTGGCAAAGGGTTCCAAGCAACAATATGGGATGGACCACCCGGAAACATTCTCGCCCGTCGTCAAATACGTGACGCTGCGCATGGTGATTGCAGTCGCCGAGTATTTTGGATGGACCATCGACCAACTCGACTTGGTGACGGCATTCCTGTATGATGTAATGAAAAAAAAGTGTTCTGCGTCGTCCCTGAAGGCGTGGAATTATAGGGCTCCTTCGATTGTCTGGAGTTGGTGAAGGCAATCTACGGACTCAAGCAAGCGTCGCGCGTATGGAACGAAACGTTTGACGAGTTCGTGTGTGCTATTGGATTTCAAGCGTCAAGCCTCGACCCGTGTCTCTACATAAGGATCGTGGAAGGGCAATGCGTGCTGCTGCTGTTGTATGTGGATGACGTGTTGATCACCGGTAGCTCATGCGAGCTAATTGCACGCACCAAGACCGACCTGAAGACACGATTCGAGATGACTGACAGCGGCAAGTGTGCATTTGTGATTGGAATCGAACTTTTGGATGGCGCAGATGGAAGTGTGACACTATGCCAGCGTCGGTATGTCGATGACATACTCAAGCACTTTGGCATGGATGATTGGAAGGCCGTCGCAAGTCCAGTCGACATGAGCTCTCGACTTGTTTCAAGTGATGCGGCAACCAAGGTTGATGCTCCTTTTCGCGAAGCTGTTGGTGCGTTGATGCACCTGACCACTGTAACGCGCCCGGATATTGCGTTCGTCGTGGGCTATGTGTCGCGATTCATGGAGAACCCCCAAGAAGAACACTGGGTTGCGGTTAAGCGCATCTTCCGCTACCTACAAGGCACCAAGACGCATGGAATCTGCTACAAGCCAAATGAGAAGATCGACTTTCGTGATTACTCGGATGCAGACTGGGCCGGTGACCTCGCTGATCGCAAGTCGACGTCTGGTTACGTATTCATGCTGTTGGGTGCACCAGTGAGTTGGGGCAGCAAGAAACAGCCAAGTGTTTCGTTGTCCACGAGTGAAGCCGAATACATCGCACTCAGCTTGGCGATTCAAGAGGGCAAGTGGATTCATCGTCTGCTTTGTGAGATCATGATGGCTGCCAATCAAGAAGGACCGGAACTCATGATCCATGAATACAATCAGTCGTGTATCAAGATGACGAAGAACCCGGTCAACCACGGCCGTGCCAAGCACATTGACATAAAGTATCATCACATCCGTGATGAGGTCAAGCGCGGTGAAGTGAAGCTCAATTACTGTGAAACTGCGGTGATGTTAGCGGACATCATGACAAAGGGACTTCATGGGCCACGCCACAAGGAGATGACGGCGACTCTCGGGATTTGTGCATGTTCACATTGAGGGGCGTGTTGACGGTCATCGGTTTCCTACCAGTGTTGGTAACCGTGACCGGTCCAATCCGAACCGCCTGTTCAGCTTAGTATTTACGACGTAGTTCTTACGGTAATTACCATAGTTGATTAGACGCGTAGGATGATGAGACGCTTCACATGATTTACATGTGCACCACATATAAATCATGTAGTAAGTAGTAAGCCCCGATAATCAATCACTTTCGAATTCTCCTTCTGCCGAGCAAGTCTTCTCTGGTCCGCTCCTCAAGCCTCTTCGCTCTCTCCGGTCTCTTCCGGTCTTCTCGTCACTCCCGTGCCATACCATCAACATCAATACCGACATTTGGTGTCAAGAAGCCAAATGGCAAGTGGCGCTTTTTGCATGCTTATAATTATTTTAATGCAGTCACTATCCCGGCGCAGACGCCTATTCCTAGAAAGTGTTTCTACGATTGCGCAGCTTGTAGAGGTACACGACGGAGGAAAATGCTCGATGAAAGGGTTTTACAACATGCTTCTCAAGTGGTACGTTGCAATTAAACATGCCAAATGCTTCCTATCGACACTAAAAATTTGTTAAACTAGGACGCTCGGTAGAATGGAACCTGGTATGAGCAGAGTGAACTAGGCTATGCATGTATACATTCATTTTTGAGAGAGAAGGGGTTGATAATTGTTTTTATCGCCTGACCGGCCGGGCTTTCAGTACATGTAGTTTGGTTTATAGTTGTTTCCTTCTATTGCAAGTCTTCGGCGACCGGATAAATACGTGAGATCACCCACCAAGATAAAGCCAAAAATATGCCCTGGCGAATCACGTGTTTACTTGAAGTATCATACTCGAGATAAGTAGCTCAGGTAAGTTAAGGCAGGAAGAAATTAACAATGAGAAAGCCAACCTACCGTTTGACTTAGGAGATGAAGACTCAATTATCAACACCACCGTTGCTCGTAAGGCTGGCAGTGTCGTAGATGAGAGTTAAAAGCAAGAATATGTGGGTGTTAGAGAGAATTCATACATGGAAGAAGGCCGCACGAAGGTGAAAAACACGCTAAATGGGTCACTGGTCTACAAATCTGATGTATGGGTCGATGACCAGGTGGGACGAGAAGTAATCCTACGAATAGCTTAAACGATACCGGCTGAAATACGCCTTGACCTGGCAAAAAAACAGCTTGCTTGCCGGACGAAGTTAGAATTCAGCTGGAAGATAAAATACCACCGTATGGGGCTAAGAAACGACGAATTGCTGCAGACGAAGAGTACTTGGCGATCTTGGTGAATACCGCCGTGCTAACCGTTGATCGAAGATTACTGCAGTCAAAATCGTGGTGAGCACGCCACTCGCGCTGGTCAATTACGTCTACGACTGGACCTGTAAGGCTGACTTACCTTCATTTGACCAATCTGACTCATTAAGATGTGAGCACTCAACAAGGGACATTATTCAAGCAATGGATGCCGGCAGATATGATACTGCGACTATTCAGGTATGTGTCCGTGGGTTCACGACGATATCAGGAGTGGCAGACACTCGCGTTTTTAAAGCTACTAAGGACAAAGAAGAAGAAGAATTACCTGAAGTAGATATATCGTTGGTTGAACACCTATCATATCTCACGCCAACGCGCATTCTAAAACGTTCGCAGAGAGATATCGCGTAGACGGCTGTGGAAAAGGGGAAGCAGAGTTGAAAGACATTTTGTCGATAAGTGATCACGTGGACGACCAAGTTAATCTTGGAGGATCGCGACCAGGACAAGCACCAGTGTATGTCAAAGCGATCATCATACCTGGTAGTACTTGTGACAAGAGTGAAGGTGATGTGGTTTGTGATTGTTAAATGATCAGATGGAGCAAAAAAATGGACCCCAGAGAGGAGTAAAGACCCTAATACCAGCTACTGCCAACATGGAATCCCCCATTTATGCGATTGAATACACCATGTTGGTGCGGGACCAGTCAGAATTGTAGCCAAACAAGTGTTGGGGAAACTCACTCCCGAACTGATCCAGAAAGCGGTACCTGATCGTATAAAAGATCGTTCCACCCATCGTCCAGACGAAACTAATTTTAAGGATGGTGAAGTCCATCGACCGTCTAACCATCAGGCGATACAAAAAGCAGCGATCACAAAGCATCGGAGCACGCAAACGTTTCGTCTACCTACAAAACGTTGGAGTGTTGTTCGCGGAAGACGTTAGCCAACACATGGCGGTCTTACTAGAAGAAGACGTGATGCAGAGCGACGTAAATTTGACGACACCTAGGTGAAGACCCAGGAATCCTGTGGTAAAGTGGCGATCGCTCATTTTATGAGTCGATTCCAACTCTCCACTGGCGCCCGGACGACCGATTAACGGAGGGAGTACTCCGATTCCGTGTGTGTTGCCATCCTCACCTTGTGTACCCGTCGGTAGGGCGGGTTGCACTCTTCCAGGTGGACTCGATTTGAAGGAAAACTTGACCGTGTTGGGGATAGGATCGTGATCGTGCGGAAATCTTCACGCGATCACGGAGTACTTTTAAGAACTGATATAAGTTACCCTGATCGTAACGAGATCGCCTTGTCCGCTATGTGGTTGCTTGATCCGCGAGCCTTCTGAATGAAGAACTTTCGACTTCTTGGTCCGAGTGCAAATGCAAAGTGAACATATACTTAAAATAGGTACTTAGTTTACAACTTTGAATAATACCTCTAAGCCTATTATTCGCAGTGACGTCATCCGCTGACGTCATCCAATGACGTCATTCCAATGACGTCATTCCCTGACTTCGCCCTTACTGGTACATACCGGTACCCACCGGTACATCGAAGCTTGGTCTTCGGCTTGCCTCAACACTTGACGCAGCTTGACGAGGTGTCTTCTTCACAGCCGCCGTCTTTCCAAAACTCCCTCTCGACTCGTTAGCTGCGGCACCTTGGATCCCAAGTCGATCGCGAATGTTTTCAAATTGTACAGCGGCGATCGGCTTGGTCATCATGTCCGCCAGCATATCTTGAGTCGGGCAATACTCCAAAACGACTTCGCCCGATTACACCTTCTCACGCACAAAATGGTAGCGTATGTCGATGTGATTTGTTCTCTTATGGAACTCCGGGTTCTTGGCGAGAGCGATTGATCCTTGGTTGTCTTTATAGATCTTGATCACTTCGTCGCTTGCCATCTCACCAAGTTCCCTCAACAACACCTTGAGCCATAATGCTTCTTTGGTTGCTTCGGAAAGAGCCATGTATTCCGCTTCAGTTGAAGATATCGCGACCGTCCGTTGTTTCTGGCTTTTTCAGCTGATGCATCCTCTGTTCATCATGAACACATAGCCGCTTGTACTTCATCTTGACTCAATGTCGCCGGCCCAATCTGCGTCGGTGTACCCGCAGATACGGCTTCCTTCTTCACGTGTGAACTCAAGACCGTGATTGGGCGCTGCTTGCAGGTATCTCAGCACACGCTTCAAAGCTTGCCAGTGAGTCGGGCATGGGTCGGACGAGAATTGGGATAATGTTCCCACCGCAGCAGCTAGATCCGGACGTGTGGCGACCATGAGATACATGATGCCTCCGACAGCACTTTGATATGGCACGTCGCACATGGTGTCTTCGTGGTTGCATTCTTGGTCACACATGTCCTTGGTGAGCTTCAGACCGGGATCTTGAGGCGTCTTCACTGGCTTGCTGTTATCCATTCCGAACTTGGTCAACACGGACTTGATAAACTTGGTTTTTTTTGTCGCACAGTCACCATTCCAGTCTTACGGTCGTTCTTGATCTCCATGCCGAGAAAGTAACTGAGCTCACCGAGACCCGTCATTTCGAAGCGTGTGCTCAGCGCCATCTTGGTCGACTTGAGTATGTCGTTGTTGCTGCTGGACAGGATGAGATCATCGACGTAGAGCACCACGAGAATCATGTCTTGGTCGTCTCGCTTGATGTAGATGAAGTGTTCCAATTCGCACTTGTTGAATCCCATCGTGATCATGAACCCATCGATAGTTTGGTTCCACATGCGTGGCGATTGCTTCAAGCCGTAGAGCGATCTCTTTAGCTTGCACACATAGTCCGGCTGTTTTTCATCCAGGCATCCTGCCGGCTGGTCCATGTAGGTGTCTTCGTCGAGGGAGCCGTTAAGAAACGTTGTCTTGACGTCCATCTGATGTAGCATTAGGCCGTACTTGGCCGCCATGCTGAGCACCACACGAATCGATGTGAAATTGGCCACTGGTGCAAAAGTTTCTTCATAGTCAACTTCAAATTTCTATGAGAATCCTTTGGCTACAAGTCTTGCCTTGAAACGTTCAACTTCGCCATCTTGATTCTCCTTGACACGAAACACCCATCGGCACCCGATGGCTTTGCGACCTTTCGGAAGAGGCAAGATTTCTCACGTGTCGTTTCTCTGAAGCGAGTCGAACTCCGAGTCATACGCTTCTTTCCACTTGCCGGAGTCGCTTGACTCCATAGCCGACTTGAACGTAGTCGGCATTTCCCCCACTGAATCAACGATGTAGGCTGCTTCAAAATCCATCGCAGCCGCTGATACATGCTCAAGCGACGGACCTCTGTACGTTCTTTGCTCGGGACTTGAAATGACGGTAGATTTCTCAAGTGATTGAGTGCGCGTGTGTCCCTTGATGTTGCTCTTCGAAGACCTGGTGTCTTCGTCGTCATCGTCGCTCGAATTCAGGTTGACGTCAGTTTTACCTTCTTCTTTTTCTTCGTCCTCGTCTTGATCGTCAAACTCAACGGCACTTGACTCATCGCTGTAGTTGCGCGGACCTTCATCAAACTTGTTTTCCATGAACGTGGCATCGCGACTGATCTTGATCGCTCCTGTTGACACTTCCTCGAATCGATATGAATTCTGGTGTTCGGCGTACCCCAGGAAACGACAGAGTGATGACTTGGAGTCGAACTTCGCGCGTTTGCTTCAACACTTGACGCATCTTGACGAGGTGTCTTCTCCACAGCCGCCGTCTTTCCAACATTGACCACTTGAGCCGTCTCGCGATCTTGCGCCTAGCCGTTACGTGTCTTACTGCGTCCGGTCGCAGTTAATGTTGCTTGAGAGTTTTTGAACACAACCTGGCCAAAACAATCCAGGTGTGATACTTGCGTAGACGTGTAGCGCGGCTCTTTATTCGACGGGAGGCCAAAGATTCTACCCGGAAGAGATAACGTGTGCCTTGTGAAGTAAATTGAACTCTGTTTAAAGTTAACCAACCAACCTAAACCCTACCCCTATGCCTATCCGTATATCCTAACCCGATGCCACGCGTCGCCTTTCCAGGAAAATCGTCCCCTCGCATTTGTGTGGTCCACACCCAGCATATCAGCAGTTATATCTGCTTGTGGCCCACCCAAGATATCCCCGTGATCCTACTAGCAGATCGTGATCTTACTAGTGGATCGTGATCTTACAAGTGGATCGTGATCTTACTAGCGGATCGTATCCTACTAGCGGATCGTGATCCTGCTAGCGGATCGTGATCTTACTAGTGGATCGTGATCTTACAAGTGGATCGTGATCCTACCATCGGATCGTGATCCTACTAGTGGATCGTGATCCTACTAGCGGATCGTGTTAGAAAGACGGCGGCTGTGGAGAAGACACCTCGTCAAGATGCGTCAAGTGTTGAAGCAAGCCTAAGACCAAGCTTCGATATGCCGGTGGGTACCGGTATGTACCAGTAAGGGCGAAGTCAGGGAATGACGTCATTGGATGACGTCAGCGGATGACGTCACTGCGAATAATAGGCTTAGAGGTAGTATTCAAAGTTGCGAACTAAGTACCTATTATAAACATATGTTCACTTTGTGTTTTGCACTCGGACCAAGAAGTCTAAAGTTTTTCAGGTTGTGAGCCCAAGCTCGTCAGACTCTCCAACCGACAACAATTCAAGCCTTGCTGCAATGGTCGCCTCCACCCTCCGCATCTCCAAGTTCGATGGAACTAACTTCCACGCCTGGAAGTTCAAGATGCAGATGGTGCTGGAGGAACGGGACCTGTGGGGGGTCGTCAGCGGCGAGATCAAGGCGGAACAGCGCGTGACTTAGTTGGACCAAGCGGCGTACAAGAGGAAGTCAAGAAAGGCGATGGCAGTGATCTGTTTAGCCATGGAAGATTCCCAGCTACCGTTGGTCCGGTCAGCAAGTGGTGCATGTGACGCATGGTCAAGGTTGGAAGACCACTTCGAGAAGAAGAGTCTTGCCAAAAAGCTGTTCTTTCACCGTCGCTTCTTCACGACGATGATGGAAGAAGGCGACGATATGCTCGAACACATCAACAAGCTGAAGACGTTGGCGGAACATCTAGAAGCGGTGGGGGCTCCGGTGTGCGAGGACGATCTGGTGATCACACTTCTCGGCAGCCTGAGTGACTCGTATCAATTCTTGATCACAGCTTTGGAGTCGCGCTCAGACACTCTTAGCTGGGAGCTCGTGACGTCTCAACTACTTCATTAAGAAATGAAGCGGAAGGAGCAAGGAAGTAAAGGTGATGAAGCTTTGGAAGGTCAAGCGTTCATCACAACGACAATCAGCGCAAAGGGCGACCAGTGAAGAAGTCCTGGCCGTGCCACAATTGCGGAAAGATTGGTCACTGGATGGCGGAGTGCCCCTCGCGCATCCAAGAAAACACGGAGAGACACCGGCCACAGCGCGCTCAAGACAGAGGCGGCCGTTATCGATCACAACGTGCAAATGTCGCTCAAGAAGAAGACTCGGGCGACTACCTCTTCTCGATCGGTGAAACGACATCTGCGAAATCAAGCGACATCTGGCTGGTCGACTCCGGGGCGACGCAGCACATGACGTGCTCCAAGAAGTTCATGCGGAACTACAAGGTGTTTGACGCTGTGGATGTCCATCTCGCGGATGATGGAATCGTCCAAGCAATCGGCAGTGGAGACATTGTCATGTCGATGAAGACACCCCAAGGGATGAAGAAAGGTGTGCTCACAAACGTGTGGCACATCCCAAAGTTATCCAGAAACCTGTTCTCAGTCGGCCGCTTCACCAAGGATGTGGGCCCAGTGACGTTCACAAACGATGGGTGCTATGGAGAAGCGAAAGGGACCAAGTGGAAAATTGATGCCCGTGAAGGTAAAGGACTGTTCAAGCTGCAAATGACTCCAGTGGCGCCGGAACAAGCAAATGCAGTCAAGTCGTCGGGATGTCAAGGGGGCACCAAGTCGTACCTCTGCCACCTTCGGCTTGGTCACATAGGTCATGATGGACTCAATTGCATCGTGACGAAGAACATTGGAATTGGCATCGACATATCTTCAGTGTAGAAGTGGGACGTGTGTGAAGGTTGTGCTCTGAGAAAACAGACTCGAGTGCGCTTCCAATCGAACACTACAGCTTGCACCTCCAGACTGCTCGAAGTGATTCACAGTGCCGTATGCGGACCGATGTCGATAGCAACTTTCAGTGGAAAGCGGTACTTCGTGACATTCATCGACGGCAAGTCAAGATACTGTGTCGTGTATCTGCTCAAGAGCAAATCTGAAGTTGCGGCGAATTTCATGGAATACGCTGCGATGGCCGAAACGCAAACCGGAAAGTGCGTGAAGTACCTTTAAAGCGACAATGGGGGTGAGCACAAGTCCGACAAGTTGGCACGATTCTGCACGGAACGAGGGATACAACAAAGGTTCACACCCCCATATACTGCTCTGCTCAACGGAGTTGCTGAGAGAATGAATCGCACGCTGGTCGAGTGTGCGCGCTGTATGATGGAACACTTTGGACTGGGAAAGAGCTACTGGGGTGAAGCAGTGATGACGATGATGTTTCTTCGGAACCGCTGTCCAACACGTGCCATCCACCAATGCAAGTCTCCATATCAAGTGTGGACAATGAAGAAACCGATTCTGGCCAACCTCAAAGTGTTTGGATGCCACGCGTATGTTCAAGTGCCTCAAGGCAAACGCGCGAAGTTCGACTCCAAGTCATCACTCTGTCGTTTCCTGGGGTACGCCGAACACCAGAATTCATATCGATTCGAGGAAGTGTCAACAGGAGCGATCAAGATCAGTCGCGATGCCACGTTCATGGAAAACAAGTTTGATGAAGGTCCGCGCAACTACAGCGATGAGTCAAGTGCCGTTGAGTTTGACGATCAAGACGAGGACGAAGAAAAAGAAGAAGGTAAAACTGACGTCAACCTGAATTCGAGCGACGATGACGACGAAGACACCAGGTCTTCGAAGAGCAACATCAAGGGACACACGCGCACTCAATCACTTGAGAAATCTACCGTCATTTCAAGTCCCGAGCAAAGAACGTACAGAGGTCCGTCGCTTGAGCATGTATCAGCGGCTGCGATGGATTTTGAAGCAGCCTACATCGTTGATTCAGTGGGGGAAATGCCGACTACTTTCAAGTCGGCGATGGAGTCAAGCGACTCCGGCAAGTGGAAAGAAGCGTATGACTCGGAGTTCGACTCGCTTCAGAGAAACGACACGTGAGAAATCTTGCCTCTTCCGAAAGGTCGCAAAGCCATCGGGTGCCGATGGGTGTTTCGTGTCAAGGAGAATCAAGATGGCGAAGTTGAACGTTTCAAGGCAAGACTTGTAGCCAAAGGATTCTCATAGAAATTTGAAGTTGACTATGAAGAAACTTTTGCACCAGTGGCCAATTTCACATCGATTCGTGTGGTGCTCAGCATGGCGGCCAAGTACGGCCTAATGCTACATCAGATGGACGTCAAGACAACGTTTCTTAACGGCTCCCTCGACGAAGACACCTACATGGACCAGCCGGCAGGATACCTGGATGAAAAACAGCCGGACTATGTGTGCAAGCTAAAGAGATCGCTCTACGGCTTGAAGCAATCGCCACGCATGTGGAACCAAACTATCGATGGGTTCATGATCACGATGGGATTCAACAAGTGCGAATTGGAACACTTCATCTACATCAAGCGAGACGACCAAGACATGATTCTCGTGGTGCTCTACGTCGATGATCTCATCCTGTCCAGCAGCAACAACGACATACTCAAGTCGACCAAGATGGCGCTGAGCACACGCTTCGAAATGACGGGTCTCGGTGAGCTCAGTTACTTTCTCGGCATGGAGATCAAGAACGACCGTAAGACTGGAATGGTGACTGTGCGACAAACCAAGTTTATCAAGTCCGTGTTGACCAAGTTCGGAATTGATAACAGCAAGCCAGTGAAGACGCCTCAAGATCCCGGTCTGAAGCTCACCAAGGACATGTGTGACCAAGAATGCAACCACGAAGACACCATGTGCGACGTGCCATATCAAAGTGCTGTCGGAGGCATCATGTATCTCATGGTCGCCACACGTCCGGATCTAGCTGCTGCGGTGGGAACATTATCCCAATTCTCGTCCGACCCATGCCCGACTCACTGGCAAGCTTTGAAGCGTGTGCTGAGATACCTGCAAGCAGCGCCCAATCACGGTCTTGAGTTCACACGTGAAGAAGGAAGCCGTATCTGCGGGTACACCGACGCAGACTGGGCCGGCGACATTGAGTCAAGATGAAGTACAAGCGGCTATGTGTTCATGATGAACAGAGGATGCATCAGCTGAAAAAGCCAGAAACAACGGACGGTCGCGATATCTTCAACTGAAGCGGAATACATGGCTCTTTCCGAAGCAACCAAAGAAGCAGTATGGCTCAAGGTGTTGTTGAGGGAACTTGGTGAGATGGCAAGCGACGAAGTGATCAAGATCTATGAAGACAACCAAGGATCAATCGCTCTCGCCAAGAACCCGGAGTTCCATAAGAGAACAAATCACATCGACATACGCTACCATTTTGTGCGTGAGAAGGTGTAATCGGGCGAAGTCGTTTTGGAGTATTGCCCGACTCAAGATATGCTGGCGGACATGATGACCAAGCCGATCGCCGCTGTACAATTTGAAAACATTCGCGATCGACTTGGGATTCAAGGTGCCGCAGCTAACGAGTCGAGAGGGAGTTTTGAAAAGACGGCGGCTGTGAAGAAGACACCTCGTCAAGCTGCGTCAAGTGTTGAGGCAAGCCGAAGACCAAGCTTCGATGTACCGGTGGGTACCGGTATGTACCAGTAAGGGCGAAGTCAGGGAATGACGTCATTGGAATGACGTCATTGGATGACGTCAGCGGATGACGTCACTGCGAATAATAGGCTTAGAGGTATTATTCAAAGTTGTAAACTAAGTACCTATTTTAAGTATATGTTCACTTTGCATTTGCACTCGGACCAAGAAGTCGAAAGTTCTTCATTCAGAAGGCTCGCGGATCAAGCAACCACATAGCGGACAAGGCGATCTCGTTACGATCAGGGTAACTTATATCAGTTCTTAAAAGTACTCCGTGATCGCGTGAAGATTTCCGCACGATCACGATCCTATCCCCAACACGGTCAAGTTTTCCTTCAAATCGAGTCCACCTGGAAGAGTGCAACCCGCCCTACCGACGGGTACACAAGGTGAGGATGGCAACACACACGGAATCGGAGTACTCCCTCCGTTAATCGGTCGTCCGGGCGCCAGTGGAGAGTTGGAATCGACTCATAAAATGAGCGATCGCCACTTTACCACAGGATTCCTGGGTCTTCACCTAGGTGTCGTCAAATTTACGTCGCTCTGCATCACGTCTTCTTCTAGTAAGACCGCCATGTGTTGGCTAACGTCTTCCGCGAACAACACTCCAACGTTTTGTAGGTAGACGAAACGTTTGCGTGCTCCGATGCTTTGTGATCGCTGCTTTTTGTATCGCCTGATGGTTAGACGGTCGATGGACTTCACCATCCTTAAAATTAGTTTCGTCTGGACGATGGGTGGAACGATCTTTTATACGATCAGGTACCGCTTTCTGGATCAGTTCGGGAGTGAGTTTCCCCAACACTTGTTTGGCTACAATTCTGACTGGTCCCGCACCAACATGGTGTATTCAATCGCATAAATGGGGGATTCCATGTTGGCAGTAGCTGGTATTAGGGTCTTTACTCCTCTCTGGGGTCCATTTTTTTGCTCCATCTGATCATTTAACAATCACAAACCACATCACCTTCACTCTTGTCACAAGTACTACCAGGTATGATGATCGCTTTGACATACACTGGTGCTTGTCCTGGTCGCGATCCTCCAAGATTAACTTGGTCGTCCACGTGATCACTTATCGACAAAATGTCTTTCAACTCTGCTTCCCCTTTTCCACAGCCGTCTACGCGATATCTCTCTGCGAACGTTTTAGAATGCGCGTTGGCGTGAGATATGATAGGTGTTCAACCAACGATATATCTACTTCAGGTAATTCTTCTTCTTCTTTGTCCTTAGTAGCTTTAAAAACGCGAGTGTCTGCCACTCCTGATATCGTCGTGAACCCACGGACACATACCTGAATAGTCGCAGTATCATATCTGCCGGCATCCATTGCTTGAATAATGTCCCTTGTTGAGTGCTCACATCTTAATGAGTCAGATTGGTCAAATGAAGGTAAGTCAGCCTTACAGGTCCAGTCGTAGACGTAATTGACCAGCGCGAGTGGCGTGCTCACCACGATTTTGACTGCAGTAATCTTCGATCAACGGTTAGCACGGCGGTATTCACCAAGATCGCCAAGTACTCTTCGTCTGCAGCAATTCGTCGTTTCTTAGCCCCATACGGTGGTATTTTATCTTCCAGCTGAATTCTAACTTCGTCCGGCAAGCAAGCTTTTTTTTTGCCAGGTCAAGGCGTATTTCAGCCGGTATCGTTTAAGCTATTCGTAGGATTACTTCTCGTCCCACCTGGTCATCGACCCATACATCAGATTTGTAGACCAGTGACCCATTTAGCGTGTTTTTCACCTTCGTGCGGCCTTCTTCCATGTATGAATTCTCTCTAACACCCACATATTCTTGCTTTTAACTCTCATCTACGACACTGCCAGCCTTACGAGCAACGGTGGTGTTGATAATTGAGTCTTCATCTCCTAAGTCAAACGGTAGGTTGGCTTTCTCATTGTTAATTTCTTCCTGCCTTAACTTACCTGAGCTACTTATCTCGAGTATGATACTTCAAGTAAACACGTGATTCGCCAGGGCATATTTTTGGCTTTATCTTGGTGGGTGATCTCACGTATTTATCCGGTCGCCGAAGACTTGCAATAGAAGGAAACAACTATAAACCAAACTATATGTACTGAAAGCCCGGCCGGTCAGGCGATAAAAACAATTATCAACCCCTTCTCTCTCAAAAATGAATGTATACATGCATAGCCTAGTTCACTCTGCTCATACCAGGTTCCATTCTACCGAGCGTCCTAGTTTAACAAATTTTTAGTGTCGATAGGAAGCATTTGGCATGTTTAATTGCAACGTACCACTTGAGAAGCATGTTGTAAAACCCTTTCATCGAGCATTTTCCTCCGTCGTGTACCTCTACAAGCTGCGCAATCGTAGAAACACTTTCTAGGAATAGGCGTCTGCGCCGGGATAGTGACTGCATTAAAATAATTATAAGCATGCAAACAGCGCCACTTGCCATTTGGCTTCTTGACACAAAATGTCGGTATTGAATGGGGAGACTTGCTCTCACGAACCATTCCAGCCGCGTGCTTAGCACGAAAGAACTCGTCAATGACTTCACACTGCTCCTTTGGTAGGGGTCATTGCCGTGTCACACATTATTCGGTTCCAGGAACCAGGTCAATTTCATGACGTACACCTCCATCAGGTGTTAAAAAAGATGGAGATTGTGACACACCTCATCTTGAAATTCCTTTATCAAAGGATAGCATGGATTCAAAGAACCTTGAAGGATCGAAGATCACTCCGGGCACTGTGTTAAGATGTAACGAGCACTGGGCCAGAGAACGAAGCTTGAAGAACTTGAAAAGAAGCCTACACTGCGAAGTGAAGACGACTTGTGTAAAAGAAGGAACATTTGGAAGTGAATTTATTTGTGGGTATTTGTTAAAGCTACCTGATTTATCCCTGCACTGATTTATATGTTGTCCACATATAAATCATGAATCATAAATCATGTAGGTCATCCAATCATCCTATGCGTCTAACCATTAGTAAAAACTCACCGTAATTACGCGGGATCGACTTGGACAGGTTTACGGTTTCCATAGTAGATGATAACAGTACCTCAACCGTTGACCCACAATACGCCCCCTCAATGCGAACACGCGTGTATGCCGAGCGCTGCCGTCGTGTCCTTGTGACGCGGTCCTGGCAGATCCTTGGTCATGATGTCCGCCAATATAATCTTAGTCTCACCGTACTCCAACTTGACATCACCACGCTTGACTTCATCACGAATGTGATGGTACTTGATGTCGATGTGCTTGGCCCGACCATGGTTCACAGGATTGTTCGTCATCTTGATGCACGATTATTTTTCTTCAATGATCTTGAGCTCGGGTCCAGACTTGTCCTCTGCGGCATCCAGAATCTCACACAGCAATCGATGCACCCACTAGACTTCTTGAATATCCAGACTTAGTGCAATGTACTCAGCTTCACTTGTTGACAGCAATACACTTGATTACTTTTTGCTTCCCCAGCTTATTGGAGCACTTATCAGGATAAACGCATATCCCGAAGTCGACTTGCGGTCTGCATGATCGCCGGCCCAGTCTGCATCCGAGTAGCCGCGGAAGTCTATCTTGTCATCAGACTTGAAAAAGATGCCGTGCGACTTAGTCCCTTGTAAGTATCGCAGAATGCGCTTGACCGCCATTCAATGCTCGACTTGGGGGTTTTCCATGAAGCGCGAAACGTGACTCACAGCAAAAGAAATGTCCGGTCGTGTCGCGGTCATCAAGTGCATCAAAGCACCTACTGCTTCACGAAACGGGGCATCGATTTTGGTTGCTGCGGTGCTTGGTATGAGTCGAGAACTGATGTCTGTTGGGCTGATGACGGCTTTGCAGTCGCTCATGCCAAAACGCTTGAGGACATCTTCCACGTAGCGTCGCTGGCGCATCGTCACGCTACCGTTGTCGTTGTCCACCATCTCGATGCCCAACACGAATACGCACTTGCCGCCGTCAGTAATTTCGAAACGCGCCTTCAAGTCACTCTTGGTGCGCATAATCAGTTCGGTTGTACCCAAGTAATCGCGATTGCTAGAAGTTGCGGAAGGACAGATGTAGGTTCAACTAGTCTGATTACGCAATTCATCATGATATATTACATGATAGGACTTGCAGTCACGACCTCTACCCAGTGACGGCGACTCCGGCTAAAGATCGCCATAGCGGACTTGTAATCGATGTCTCGACCTGAGATCACTATTCTCTACTTGTGATTACGATCTCGAGCTGGGATCACGATCCTCAACTTACTATCGTGATTCGTGATCCAGCTGTCGTGGTATATGATGTAGACCATGCAAATTTCCTACTGTTGACATAGTTGGCGTGGAATACATAAATACGAAAGGACGGTTTACTGAAATGCAACGCGCGGCAATCGATTCTGAGATTTATGTTGGCACAGTAACAGGCTTTTAGGTTCAGTTGGTTAACATGAAGCAAGTTTAATTTACCGCAAAAATCACACGTTATCTCTTCCGGGCAGAATTGTACCCCCCCCCGAACGAATCAATAGTCGTGCTACACGCCTACACAAGCGTCGCACCAGTATTTTCTGGCCAGCTCAAGAACTATCACGAGACCAAGTAAAATGCGATCGGACGCAGCAAGCACAGCGAGGGCAGGGGTGCAAGATCGCAAGACGGATCAAGTGGTCAGTAGGCACTAAGGATCAAGCATCGCCGTAGGAAAAGACTATCTAAACCAGATTGAGGCAATCTATGTAGATAATCACGTAAAATAACGCGATCGTGAGAACAATTTCATTCGATTACCACTAGTCCTACCCACAGGTAAATTTAGCATTGACTCAAATCCACCTGGAAGAGTGAAGCCCGCCGTACGGACAGGTACACAAGGTAAGGAAGGCGAACTGTACACATTTAAAGCACCCATCCGTTAGTCAGTCGTCCGTGTGTCAGTGGAGAGCAGAGGTCGCCTCATGAAATGAGCAATCGCTACCTCACCACACCTATTAGATACGTCCGTTGTCGTCAATAGTGACCTGATGGTAAGTCAAGTGTCGCAGTATTAACACAGATTCAAGGGTCTACAATAGAAACGGGGCCCGATTATAAGTTACGGAATGCCGTGATGCGGCGTGTGACACGCACCAGACGATTTGTGATGATAATTACAAGCACGCTGAAAAGTGTGACCTTTTAATTAGTCTCGGTCCGAGAAGACCGACATACGACCAAACTTTCGTGACTCGAAGACAAGACGCCGGAAGCATCCTCGACTGAAATGATTCATCATGTCTAATAATTTTACAAAGACGTACTTAATCTCGTCGAAGACAAGACGCCGGAAGCATCCTCAACGGAAGTGCTCCATCATGTCTTAGGATCAGCCGAAGAGATAGTTAGTCTCTCGGAGATGACCAGGAATCGCTTTTCGTCCGAGCAATGTAACAGAAACTTATTTGATTTAGTCGCGCCATTTTAAGGGAACACTTTTTGGACTGCTTCTCTTGGATTACAATCGACGAGAGTGTCTTGGAAACAGAAATGACAAAACGATTCGTTGCTCAAGGCTAGAACGCCTTGTAGAAAAAATAGACCATTTTACGAAGTTATTGGGGAAGCACCGAAAAAGTTTCAGCAGAAGTGCCAAAACGCCTAATGGCCAAACAGGTTATCCGACATGATATTGACTCGAAACCTGTAGCCAAGTATTGTGTTACCACGCAGTGCCCATTGTCGAACGATCAGGTCGACGGCATCGACCAGTTCTTCCACAAGCGATATAAGTAGGGACATGTACGTGAGAGCGAGCTGTCTCACTGCAGCCCGAAATTTCGTATGCGTGAGGCAATAGGCGGTTGGCGCGTCGTTCAAGCTAAGATAATTTGAACACGCTCACCCTTCCTGCGCAAACACCGATCTTGCAGAAAGATGACCTATTGAACTCAATGGGGAAGTCAGATATATTTTCCACATTGAATTTAAACGATGGCTACTGTCTAGTTATCGTGAATAAGAACGATGTCGATGGCAGTTAGCACCCTAAGCGGTATGCTGTGAGAGTGGCTAGTGATGTCGCAAGAGTTGAAAACGCACCTGCAACATTCAGTCAATACTTGAAGGAGATCGGAGAGTACGGTCATAAACGTCCCATGCTTTTCCTTCGTAAAAGTAGTCGATCTTCGTTGACGTGATCAACTGGGATGACCAAGAAGACTTCATAGGGAGGCGAAGCTTGCCCATCTGGACAGGAAAGTTGCATTCCTTTGGGATTTGAGAAGCTAGGATGGAAATTTTTTATGTCCAGTTCCGACACGCTGATCGGGCTAAATCTTCGACCGGACCAGGGGGACGTATCGATCGCCGATCATGGAACCCGATCACGATACCCCGGAACCCAACGATCACGGTTATGGTGGTGTCGGGAAGCACCGAAATGTCCTCGGAGGTATGCAGCGAATTACACGGACCTTGTGGGTCACCAGAAAAGCTGAGAATTTCATCATAAACACTTGATGGCTCCCCAAATAAATCCACCGTGGATATTATCGGGTGTATATTGGGAGACTGATTCGCCGGAATAGGGGAGTCAATGTTGATTGGCGAAGAAATTGAAGCGGGCAGCAATTTCTGGGGATATGCCGCAGCTCTACGTCAGACGGTAGAAAGGGACAACGACTACACTGCAAGCAGATAATCATCTGTATCTGCGGAAGAAAATCAACTTGATCACTGCCCTCTAATTGGTCCGGCCACGTTGTTCGAGAATTAAAGGGATCAGGCGATGTCGGTCGAGTTCGTGACGATCGGGATCGCATTTTGACGCCGGTGATTAATGCGTGGAAGAAACAGGGGCCGATCGCTTCTGTTGAGTTGGGGCATCTTCCGGGATGTCGGCACATCGGATCTGGAGAAAACAGAAAACTTTAGTTTCTGTGTAGGCGGGGACTCCCTTTTGAAGTTTCGGCGAGCGGATGGGCGCAAGTGCAGAGACGCTGGCGACTACATTGACCAGACAAGTAAAGAGCAAATCGTTTGAGTGGATTGTCGGATCGGGTTCTGTCTCCAGCTCGGTCATCTCCCTTTACTGTCGATCACAATCGCATCCCGACGGGCGAGATCCAGCACGAGTCATCACGATCAACTGCGAGATTGGAAACTTGGACCGTCAGGCGATCACACTTTACCTGAAGGGTGTACAAATCTTTATTGGCACGTGTAAACTCCTGCGTTATCGCGGACTAGAGGATAGCAAATTCAGACTTCTCATCGACTATCTAGGATTCTTCGATCATCGGAATTCTTAAAGGACGCGATCGCCGAGGTCAACTCTTTCTTGAGCAATGTCATTTGCCGCCAATGCTTTTCTTGATCTGAATGGCAGTCGCGTCAATCTTCAGAAGTGCAGACTTCAGGATGAGAATCCTTTGTAGGCGACCTTCGTAATCGGCCAATTCCTCTGGAAAATTTAGCGACCTTCTGCTTGACATCTTCCAACGTGTCATGCAGGTTGTTGTCAAGCTGTTTCACGAATTGTCCGATCGTTACCGCTCAGTCTAAAACGTCGTATAGTTAAGTTTCCATGCGATCACCAAGTTCTTGAGGTCAGAAGGTCCAGCGTTTTAGGCATCTTAATAATAGCCAAGGCCATCTAGTTTAGATCTGGGTGATCAACATTAAGTAACCTACTCGTATACTCGTGATCGTGTGGAGGTTTCTGCGTGATCATAAAATTTGACATGGTCAAGTTTTTTCTTTACACGAGTCTACCGAGAAGAGTGCAGCCCGCTGTATCAACGGGTACAAAAGGTGAGAAAATAATGCAACTACACGGAACCGGAGTACACCCTCTGTTAGTCGGTCGTCTGGGCACCAGTGGAGAGTCGAGATCGCCTCATGAAATGAGCGATTGGCACCCCACCACAAGTGCCTTACCAATAGATGAAAGCTTGTTGATTCGTGTAGTGCTGAAGCGTTTCTCGTTCTCGGCACACACGTCACAAGTAGGTTGCAAATTAAGGACTAATTTCTATGTAATTTTTTTAAAAGAAATCGAAATGGCTATTAGCTTTAATACAAAAGTATGGACGCGCGTTCTGATGAGACGCTGTCTATGCAGCTCATTTAAACTGAAAATATGCGTGCTGATAACGCACTTCAATGACATCATGTGATAACGTCATATATTGACGGCGCCCGGGTGTGTGGCAAAAACTTTGTCGTAGGTACGCACTTACAACCTTCTCAGACTTTTCCATACCTTTACAAGGAAATTCTCGCGTGACGGTTCTACCGAGCCTTATGTGGTTACATTTGCTCCTGTTTGGCTATTACCAAACTATAAACTGCGTCAAACAGGGGAGAGTAAAAATCGTAAGCGTTTGCCTAAAACCATAATTTTTTGCCTTTTTCCGAATGACTCGTACCGACTGTTATGTTAGTCTTGATTGTTGTATGCTAAAGGCGGGTAAAGGAACGGACGGACACTGATTTGAACCCCAAAGAACATTGACTCATACAAAGCACCCCCACTGCATCAAGCTACGCTTTATGGTTGGGACGACAAGTCTTCGGCAACTGGGTGGGAGGACACGGCGACGGTAACACTGCGGGGGGCACGGAGACAGTGCATGAGGATACGGCGACAGCAACATTTTGGGGAGGGCGGACACGGCGACAGTTTGGTAGGACACAGCAACGGTGTGGTAGGACACGGCAACAACTCGGGAAAGGACTATGTCTTGGAATATAACCCTGCAAGGAAATTAGACGGTTCATGAGCATGTCATGTACCGGCTCACGCGATGGCAAGGTACAGCAACGAGTTGCAACGACGAAGTCGGTGGGGGATTGATGGCCGAAAGTCTTGACGTCAGCGACGTGTTCATGATGAGGAACGAGGGTGTTGTGTACATGATCTGGAATGCAGACGTCGTGTTCATGATGTGGGATGCGGACGTCGTGTTAAGGATATGGAGTGAAGACGGTGGCACAGGAGTTGTGTTCGTGGATTAACCGTATTCGCTGGATTCCACAGATTCGATGAAGACACGAGAGAGGCAACGGAGCCGTTCTTGACCCTTTTACGACAGTGGCTGCATTTAGTGCTACTCATACGCCGCCCGTTTTCTCAAAGCCTGACGATTGGCGCTTTGTCTCCTTTTGGTGCATTGTTTTGGATGCTTGCGTCTTCAAGATGCGCAAGGGTGGTAAAATGCCAAAATCTCGGGATCGAGGCTGTTCATGTTACTATCATGGTACTGTGATAAAGTGCGATGAGAGAATTTGAAGTGCTTAATTGGTTGATTGATCGGAACTATGATTGATCGTTGAGAGAATCGATTGACGTTTGAGCTGCGCAACATTGAGATCGAACATCAAGATGTCAGGATTGATTGTCGATATAACAAGATAAAAAAACATGGGGTGGTCAAGCTTGACAAAAGGGCCGTAGATTGAGGGTGATAGCGATCTGGGAAGATGAACGACGATCGTTAGGGATCTGATCGAATATAGAGATCGATGATCAAGGATGGTAATTGACAATTAGGAATGGTGATCAACGATCGGAAGTGATCACGAAATGAAGGGTGATCACGATCAGGGATGGTGATCAACGATAAAGCGCTCAGCGAACAGGGTGGTCGAAGACCAGGAATATCGACGATATCGATCAGGAGTGGACCACATATGCGAAGGAACGGTTAGCAGAATACAGAAGACATGTGGCAGCATATCCTGACTTGTAGACAGGAACAATGGTAGTTTTAGCTTTCGGCTGGTACACATCAAATAAAAGTTTATGCGCTTCTAAGCACACGTGTCGACTTCTCTTCCGGGCTGGAATATGGACTCCCGACGTCAGGAAAGTCTCACATACTGCAATTAAGTGATATTCCCAGATATTTGGCTGGGCACCAACAACATTTCGACTGCGATTGGACGCAGCTGCAACGTAAAGGACTAGGTGCAAGATCGCGAGATGGCTCAAGTGGTCAGAAGGTCTAACGTTTCAGGCATCTTAATATTAGACAAGGCCATCTAGTCCGGATCTGGATGACCAGCATTAAGTACCCTGCCAGTATACCCGTGATCGTGTGAAGATTTTTGCGTGATCACATATCCTATCCCCAACACGGTCAAAAAATTTCTCGACGATAATATACCGATAAGAGTGTGACCCGCCCTACCGAAGAGTAAACAAGGTGAAAAGAGAATACAACTACACGGAGTCGGATTACCCTCTCCAATCGTCGGTCGCTGGGCTCCACCAACGAGTAGGGATTGAATCATGAAATGAACAATTGCCACTCCACCACAGTACAGTACCCACTGATTTAAAAACGCGCTAACTTGTATTGGTCGTTTTGTTTCAATATTGCTGCAGATGAAGTGGGCGCAGGGTATGCCATTTACCCTCGCGAAGCATCTGGTACATCCTTCAAGCTTTGAAAGATCGAGAGCAAGCAGAATTTGCTTTAAGAGCACGAGAGCATGTCGAGAGATCTTTCGATGCAGCATCTAGAATGTCTCTTGGGCAGGTTCGTAAAAATCTCCGACTTCTGCTTTTCCATCGCTTCGCTGATTACCTTGTTGGTTAATGTTATGCCTCTATGATTTCTTCCGCAGCCATCGAGAAGTGTGCCGCTCGCTCTTTAAACCAGATTTTGCTGTTTTATAGTGTGCACCTTCGATGTAACGGGGTGAATCGTTACATAACAATTTATAAGAAATTGTTTATAGAATATAACTATAAGAGTTATATTCTCAGAATATTGTCATAAGGACAAATATTCTGTTGCACTGACAAGTAGTTCCTAATTGGTTGATATAGGCCATTATATTAACCAACGAAGACGCGCCACGACAGACGCACGCAATGAGTGGTGAGCAGATAATTGATTTACACATTTGTATTTAGACATAGTTAGATGAGGATAAATAGTGATTTATTAACAGACATTAACTATTATAAATACAGTTCTACTTTTTACTTTAACCAAGTACTCGCTTCTTCTACCGTCTTCCTCTGCACGTACGAGTGTACGTGAAGTTCCGAGGCACCGCCTTATTCTGTCATCAGAATAAGTAGCTTGTACTGTTACCAGTACAAGCTTCAGGGTGCCCCGTTACACCTGGTAGCACTTCGTAGTCCGTCCAAGGACCACGTTTACATCTAACATGGATATGTTGGATGATGAAGATGACCAAAGCTTTCACGCTACGCGTGCCGGCTACTCCCATTTGAGCGATGTCGAATGGGATGCGGTTGAACGGATGGGTTCAACCATGGGCATCCATGCTGTTAGCGTCATGCTAGAGGCTTTTAATAGAGATGCCCAACATGCTACTATCGCCAAGTTCATTCAAAATGAACTTGACGGTGAACGCGAGAAAGTAGCTTTGCTTCACCAACAAGGTTCTCAACATCCAGAGTTGTTGAGAGAACAGGGTGATCAACAGTTTGAACTGTTGAGACAGCAGCAGGCTGCTGCTGGTGGGTCGATGCACTCGCGTCGACCCGAAACATTGAAGATTGACATCTCCAAGTATAGGGGAGTCGAAGAGGACTCCCTCTTGAGATGGTTCGTCGAATTGAATGACGCCATAAGGGCGCGTCGCATCGACGACGGGGATATGCAAGTTTCATTTGCCCAGTCAAATCTAGCAGGACGTGCCAAGACTTGGGCACTGGGGCTCAAGTCGCACGACCCATATGCGTTTGGGTCGTTGAAAGTCTTCAAGTCGCGGCTCAGACAAACGTTTGAACCGCCTAGAGCTGAGTTCAGAGCTTGAACCGAACTCTTGAAACTCAAGCAGGGTAAGCGTGATGTGCACGCTTACGCGCAACATATACGACACCTCACGAGTTGTAAAAGTTCCAACCCGGTTGATGAACACACGTTGGTTTCGGTGTTCATGCAGGGTCTTGCGGATGTTCCCGTCAAGACTCACCTGTTCCGGCTTGAACTAGATTCACTAGAACAAGCCATATCCATTGTGGAACAGGAAGACTTCAGTCTGAGACAGGCTCGCGCCAGCTCGACATCGTATCTTCAACCGAGACGATATGACAGCGGAGGTCCAGAGCCGATGGAACTCTGGTATGTAGAGAGCGAGAAGGCTCGCTCTACAGACTACAAGAAGTTGCAGAAATGCAACAGATGTCAGAAGACAGGACACTACGCTTACGAGTGTAGTGCCCCTCGTCCAGTGTCTCGCAACACTGGAATAAGTGACCGTCCACCCATGAGAAAGGGGCAGGGACGCGGGTCCGCTGTTAAGGCAAAGACGCAACAACGGGATGGACCATCAAAAAAACGGACAGGATCAGTAGGTGCGGAGCACCCTACTGGTCCAGCAACGTCAAGAGAATTTGTAGGCCTCTTGATGAAGATTGCTCCCAACACACAAACGTTGTGCGTTGCTGCTCTAGGTAATGAGATCTCACTCATTACCTTGAAACTCGAAGTGACGAATAAATTGTCCCTTCGAGCTCTAGTCGTTTGTGGGGCGTCCAACAATTTTGTGCAACGCCAATCGCTAGAAGATGGTCACTTCAAGTTTGTTGAATGTGACACACCTCCTACGAGGATAAGCGTACGTCTTGCGACAGGCGCATCCGTAACCGTCACGAAACGTATAGTGAAGATCCACTATACGCTGGAAGATACCCAATATGACGATGACTTTATCGTACTGGATTTGGATGACAAATTTGATGTCATCCTTGGAGTACCATGGCTCAGAAGGTACGAACCACGGGTAAACTGGCAACATCGAACAGTAACGATGCCTGCCGCTTGTTCATCAGATGGCCATCTGATGAACGTTTTGGAGCGTCCACAAGCGTGTGGATGTACTACGAGTGAGTGCGATAGCCTCACTTTTGGTACGGTCGTTAGTACGACTGCACAAAACCTTAGTGTAACAAACGGTTACAATTCGGAGCAAAGTTCCGGCGGCTGTGAGGAAACACAGGCAGCGCCGAAGGTCCACCACTCAAATAAGTCCAGTAGACCGGGACAAAGATGTATCCCTAGCGGGGAACATCTAGAAGAGAAACAATCGATCGCTCAGGTTAAGCGAAACGATAATCCTAGATCGACTGGAGAGTCTTTCGTAGAGGATCTCGCTGTGGTTGCGCAACCCCAGCTGGAGGAAGTTAGGGGAATAAGTCCCGATATTACAAACACGGCGGAAATAAGTTCCCCGAAACCCGCGGGAATAAGTCCCCGGGAAGCCGAAGGAATAAGTCCTTCGAGGCCTGAGGGAACAAGTCCCCAGGAAATGACAGAGACATTGAATGTCATAGTCAATAACGGATCAATCGTAGGCGCTTACACACTTGATCTGATTGCGCCTCCGAAGTTGACTTCGGAGATCACTCAGTTGCCGACGCTCGAACATAAAATGTTCTTGCGTGATCTGCGTAGTGGCAAAGTCAAGCAGATCTGCGTACTCGTCGCTGACGACGAGTGCGTAGCCGACATTAGGTCAGCAACAGTGTTTACTGAAAACGAGAGAGTTCTCAGTAGTTCATCTATGGACGAGAGTGTCCTAGATGAAAAGACACGAGTTGAGCGATATGACTCCCAATCGTGGGAATCGCTCAAGACAAATCCTCTCTATGAAGATTTGGTTGAATTCGAGGATGTATTCCCTGAAACTGTTCCGTGCGAATTACCGAAGGATAAAGGTATTCGACAAGAGGTCGAGCTTAAACCAGGCTCGAAGTACTGTGTCATGAAGCAGTGGCCACTGCCTCGTGAACAAGTACTTGCGATCGACAAGTTCTTTGCCGATCGTTTAGCTGCGGGCCATGTGAGGGAATCGACTTCCCCACATAGCTCTCCAAACTTCTGTGTGCGAAAAGCAACAGGAGGGTGGCGGATAGTGCATGCATTTAACAAGTTGAATGCTGCAACGGTACCGGCTCAGACGCCGATATTAAGGAAGGACGTAATCATTGATGGTATGTCAAAGAGTACCATCTTTTCGTCCATGGATTTGAT